GATAGTGTAACTTGATACTCATATTTGCTTCTAGAGTCTGAAAGTTCGTCAGCATATTTTGTACAATTTCTTCATAATTTGGTGCTTTATGGTTACCTAGGAAATTTTCGACTACCACCAGAAAACTTTTCCAAGCTTTACTTTCCAGAATAGTCACTTTAATACAATCTGCGTCTTTCATCAATTGTCGTATTTGAGGACCATCAAATATTCCACCTTTCAACTTTTCGATACTAAGCTAAGTTAATCTCCTTCTTTGTCCAACGCTTTTACAAATTGCTTTATCATTCCTAACTTAATATGTAATGGTGGAAGTATGATTTTGTCCCTGTTCACCAACGGCTCCCTTATTACATTGGCTTTACCGACAGTTAAAGAATTTCTTACAGGCCAAACATCTTGTTCCCAATGAAGTTGCTTTGCTCTACTCTCCCACATACAAATGAAGCAAGGGTATTTCGTGTATCCACTTTGTTGACCAAGTAAAAAATTAACCATTTTCAAATCCACACAGATCGGCCATTGATGCTTCGAGTAATTAATTTTTTCTAAAATTAATTTTACATTTTCGTATTCTTTTTTTGATTTTTGTTGAATAGACAATTGGAATTGATGCAAATTTATTTCCATTGTACAGTGAGACGCATTTTAAACTTCTTTTACAACTGTCAATAAAAAGGCGCCACTCAGTAGGTTTGTATTCTTTCAAACCCACGTCTAGAAGCAGCTTCGCGATATCATTACAGTACACCAGTCCTTCATTTTCACAAAAAAAACGTAATAACTCACTTTCTCGCGTTCTGTATGTTGTAATTGTTACTGTTGGGGCCAATACTAATACTAACGGTTCTGACCCTTGCTTTGATAAATTGAGACCACGTATTAAATCACTGAGTTCATTTTGAGAAAATAACTTCGGCGTAGATGTTTCACCCTTCCATTCACTTACACTGGTAGACTGTCTCGGTTTCTGTGAATTTGGCAACATCATTGTTTCTGAGGGCATGCGAATTACTTTTGAAACGTAAATAGGCCGAGGGAAACTTTCACTGTGTAGAACAGGACATTTTGTAGACTGTAAGTCTGGATATCTCGACGTTTGATTTCGATTAAAACCTTTAACATCTACTACGCAAAAGTAACAATAATCGAAATGATTCTTGGGCTCCATCCAGATCATAGGAATACCAAAGTCTAATCCAGGACGTTTCCTTTTTTCCACAACCGTGAAGACTCAACACAGGACTTACGAACTTTATGAGGAACCCATGATTTATCTAGTTTGTCCATTTTAAAACTGAAATATCAAAAGTAAAGTCTGTGATATTTCTTTTTTGTTTTTTTGTTATATAAACACCGGAAATACATATAACAAAATAAATCACTACTATATTTACACTTACTTCGTGACGAACTCATGTTTTAAAAGACAAGACAAATATATTAGAATGGACATGCAGTAATTGAAACAAAATATTAACACATGACAAGTTATCCAGATTCACGAGTAAGTACTTCGATATTGTCAAATAACTGAGATCTCAGCTGTTCTGCACAGCAAGGGGTCTGAGAGTGGGGATCACGTGATGTTTGTATGCGCGAAAAAGTTGCGCAGAAGCCTAATCATGATTGCGAAAATAAAATTTATTACTAACAAGCCTATAATTGTTCAAAATATAAGATATGTAAAAATCATAAAAACCAAGAGCACATTCAGTACTTTCATGAATATATTCGTAATCTGACTGAATAAGACGATCTAGTACAAGAGATTATCATTTGCAATATAAATTATGAGCTTTCCAATGAAGGAAATGGATTTTCATAATATCTTGTAGTTGTTGAAATATTAATTTTAAACATAATGAGACACTTTCCCATTTTTCAGGATAAACAATTATTTTCAATTATTTTCAAAAAATCATAACAAATCGGAATTTTACTGAATCGTTATGAAATTATCAGCATTTGTTATGCAACTTATAAGCTTTCCAATGAACGAAACAAATTTTCAAAGTATCTTTTAGTTTAAATGTGATGTAGGTAAAAGTAAAAACTTTTTGAGAAGTACTAAAATGTTTAATTCAATTCAAGCAGACATGTTTCGAAACTAATGTTTCATCTTCAGTACTTAGAATATTATACAATATAATGGAAAATATTATGTTAGTAGGTGGGGTTCAGGAATAGATCTAAATCACTTTTAACTTAATTTACAAATAAAAATTAAATTTAACAAAATCAAAAATTAAAAAACTTCAATAACATAGTTAAAATCTTGGAAGGTAACATATACAGGGTGAGTCAGAAAGAATGGGAAATCCGAATATACAGGGTGATGAAAGTTAAATTTTTATTTCGAAATTTCTTGATAATTTTAAAGGTTTTTGTACTATTAACATAAAATTTGGTAGTTAGATGTTTTCGAGCATGAGAAATACGAATTTGATATTTGTTTTGTGATTACTCGTAGAGGGCGCTAGATACACACTGTACGTTTGAGATATCAAGTCATGAGTATTTTGTCAGTTGAGGTATGGTGAATTAGAACCAGAAATCTGAAGGAGTTTTCAATTCTGCGCAAAAAAGGTACTTTTCCTTACATTGTCTAAGTCTACTGGTTTCCAAGTTATCTGCTTTTAATTGTTTCAAAGTAATTTTAAGGTTAACATTTAAAATCAATAACACACAGTAACTATAGCAATTAGTAACGATAATAATCGATAACAATAACAATTGTTTAATAACAATAGAATATTGTGACCATTTTCAAAAATCCAGTGGACTTAAATCTGGATTTCTCACTATTAAAAAACTCATTATGTCGTGGCATTTTCAAATTGATAATAACTTTATTTTTGGTAAAAATGATTATTGCACACGAAAATTAGATCAATGTTGACAATTAACAGGCAATTGTCGAAACATAAGCGGAAAAATAACCCAACTTTGCTTATGTTAAAAAATAAATATTTTAGAAGAACATTTAAAAGTAAATAATTCGAAAACCGATAGACTTAGACAATTTCAATAAGAGTACTTTTATTATGTAAAATTGAATGCTCTTTGTGATTTGCAGCTCTTATTGGTCGTAGCTGTCGAGCCAAAAACTTATAATTTGATTTATTAAACGAGCAGCGTGTATCTAGCGCCCTCTACGAGCAATAACAAAACAAGTTTCAAAAACGTATTTCTCATGCTCGAAAACATAAAACTACCAAATTTTATGTTAATAGTACAAAAATCTTCAAAATTATCAAGAAATTTCGAAATAAGAATTTAACTTTCAACACCCTATGCCTCGAAAACCACTGACATTTGTATAAGAGATGTTACGTAAATCATCATATTTTGGTGTCTAGTATCTCCGGTATTCGGATTTCCCATTCTTTCTGACTCACCCTGTATATTATTGAAGTTTTTTAAGTTTTGATTTTGTTAAATTTAATTTTTATTTGTAAATTAAGTTAAAAGAGATTTAGATCTATTCCTGAACCCCACCTACTAACATAATATTTTCCATTATATTGTATAATATTCTAAGTACTGAAGATGAAACATTAGTTTCGAAACATGTCTGCTTGAATTGAATCAAACATTTTAGTATTTCTCAAAAGTTTTTACTTTTACCTACATTATATTTTATTATATTAGAGAAATATGGATAATTTCATCCCATTTATCTTTTAGTTTCTGATGAAGAAAATGTAAAGCGGCAATTGAAAATTACATAACTGATACTACTTGCAAATTCGTTACAAAATTACTATTAATTAATAATAAAAGAGTATTTATTTACATAAACATTTCCTCAAAATCATTTCGGATTATACTACTCAATTTTCCACCATAACAGCGGCAAGTTTAACAAGGTCAGGTCGATCTTGATCGTTGAACGATTGTTGTGCTAATAGAAAATTTCCATGACATAATCCGTCATGTTTACGATTTAACTCTATGTTTAAAATTAACTAAGGTTAAGATGAAATCGAAAAAATCTGTAAACACACCATTATCTTATTATTAAGTTGTTGTTATAAAATTTCTAAGTAGGATATTACTAATAAATAACGTTTTCAATTCGAAATTTTTGTAGTTTTTAATGATTGTAGATTTTTTTATCGTTGTTTTTGTTTACTTTTCTTTTCGCAATTTATGTACAGTTTACACATTATCCATTAATTATTTGAACAGTGATGATAAAATGTCGCGTGCAAACATCAATCGCACGAATGCAAATATTGTGTTCCTTTCGACGACAGCTAAACAATATCATCAACGTTGAAGCGGTGACGACAATAATAATAATGATAATGGTATACCCACCGTGTTTGGTGTCATTTTAGATGATTACTTTGTTGGAAAAACAACACCTTAAAAGATCACTGGTTTAATAACAATTTAATAAAAATGTAATTTGTTTGGAAACGCAGCTGAAAATAACAATGGTTGTTTGAGTCCTAATAGGGTTAAGGAAAAGAAATTTGTTAGTATTAAAAAGTCGTTGTGTGCGTCATGGTTATTTTTTAAATTCCTTGAGAGCTTCGTCGGTTCTACGATACTAAAAAATAAATTCTCTGCCAAGGCAAATAAACGTAGTATAAAAGACGTTCCGTGCGTATAATGTATATGGTATGTATTTAAATCCGGATGCGCAAACAATTCCTCGAAAATATCTTTTCTATTCATCGATTGGTATTTTAACGATTCCTTTAAAAAAAACAACACAAATTTAGAACAGTTTTAAAGTCCTGAAAAACGGGTTAAATTTGGACATTACGATTCAAACGAAATGTTTTAGCTTCACATTTTTCATACAAACAGAGATAACGTAGCGTGAAATTGATAAAAGGTCAAAGTTACACTTGTTTATTATTCGATCTCACGAAATCGTCAAAATAATTTATAACAAAATGGGAAGATTTCAACTTTATTTATTTTATTTTAACCTTGGCTTTCAACTTTTAGAATTTTTAAATGTTTTCTTTTTTTATTTTTAGATTTTAAATTGGCTTTAATCGAAAAATGACAATCCTGAAACGAAATTGGGTTATTTCAACGATTTTGATCGTTCTTATTAAAACCCAAACAATCCACGGGAAATGTTTAAACGAAACGGAAATTCTATCGAAAAATTACGTTCACTACGAAGGTTTAGCTATGAACTTGACCGTTCAAACAACGAGCAGAGCAACGCACAAAATGAGTTCGTACATTTTCAAAATATTTGCCGAAGAAGTTTTGAATTTTCGACAGGTCAATATCGTCGAAATCGAGGATAATTTTAACGCCTCAAATGTTATTGATGTTTTAACCGGAAAATATAGCACGGTTCATATAGAGTAAGTTGTAAAGAGTGAAAAAAGCTTCTTATAACTAACTTTTGTTTAACTTTTTAGAAGTATTCCCAAAGCTATGGTGAATTTAGAAGTTTGGGTACCGCCGCATATGGACACGGTAACGCAACTGGCATCGGAGAATGTGTTAGATTGTGGAATGTTGGGAAATCCGGGACAGTTTAGTTGGTTTATTCCGAAGAATTTAACGGGGCCAATAGCGAATTTTGATCCGAACTGGCCTCGAGACTTCGGAGACGTACCATGGACTTTGTTTAAAGATGAAAATTTTTCTTCGACTTTTCATATTTATGATAAAAGCGCACTTTTAGGAGCAACTCAACTTAATATGACGTAAGATTTTTTTATATAACTTAGTTAAAACAAATAGTCAGTCTTATTCCTTATATTATTCCTTATACTCCCTCATACTACAAACCATTATTTTATGATTTGTATTATCTGTCAAGCGCGTGAAACGAGTCTAAACTAACACATCAGAGTATTAATATCCAAGATATCTAATTTTATAACAATAAGATAGTGAATTCAAAACCATTAGTTAACCCCATCTGTCAGGAAATAGGTAACAACCTATTACTGTTAAGAAAATACAAGATCAATCAAAGATGACTCGGGCAACGGACCATGGAAATGATTCGGATCTTGGAACGTCAGAACTCTTCTGAAACATACGAGAGAATATGCACAATAAGAATAGCGACAAAATTCCGCAACACCACAATCATAAATGTCCACTAGCCCACTAAAAGTAAGAACATGGCAATAAAGGAAGCATTCTACCAACAATTTGAGAATGTCACCAACATAACACTAAAGAATGATACCAAAATAATTATGGGAGATATGAATGCCAAAACAGGAAAGAAAACGGAATACTGCGGAACGATAATAATAGAGTTCGCTGCACGCAAAAGCATGATAAAAATCTTAACATGTTTCCCACACAAATCGATTCACAAAGCAACGTGAACCTCACCAGACTGCACTACCCGTCATCAGATAGACCATCTAAGAGTTGGCAACAAGTATTTTAGACGTCCAGACAAAAATAGACATATCTTATGGATCGGACCACTCCTTGGTGTAAGCAAAATTTAGCTGTAGGATTAATAAAGTACATAAAAGCGAAAAAACTGAAAGCAAGAAAAACATAAGGATACCCAGACATGCGACTTGTTTGATAATAATATAGCAAGAAAACTGAAAAGTAGAACTGATATTGACTCGCCAACAAGACAAACAGTAGAAAACCAAAATAAAAGTAGCAGCAAAGTAATCTTGGTTCGATAACGGCTGTTACATGATGCACAGAAGGTACATACAGAGACACACAAGAGAAGGAAAGGAACAGTTTGAGGAAGCAAGGCACAGGGCGAAGAAAATAATCAGGGCTGAGAAAAGGAAACCCTAAACGATCAACTCCTCGAAATGGAAGACAACTTTAAACAACAAAACCCAAGAGCTTAGAGAGGGGTACAAATCACATCAATAAACCGGAACACTAGACAACGGTGCTCCACGAAATAAGAAATGGTTGAGGCGATAAGATGGATGGAAAACAAGGCGCCAAGATCCCAGCCGATTTGTATAAAGAGGGAAGTTATACTCTGTATGAGCATCTATAAAACTTAATAAACTATATGTGGGCAGACGATACGGAGCATACTATAGGCAGACCAACTATTTATCATAAAAAATATCCTAGAAAAGGCGTGGGAATATTATGTGAACGTAAGCCAAATAATCGTGGATTTTTGCCAACAGAACTCGAAGTACCAAACAAACCGGTAAAATTAACCAGAGACCATGGCGTATACGGATGCGCCTAGAACCATCTAACCGACCCCACAGGAACTGACCGGCACCTGAAGTAGGGGAACGGACTAGCTCCTACATTCTTTAGCACATACCCAATGACACATTAATCAGCAAATCGTCCCAGATAACAGCATACGACATAAACATTCTGAGTAGGTCACTCAAGAGAGACAAGGAAATGTACACAGAGCTCAAACACAAAACAAGGAAGGTCGGGCTAGAAATTAACCGATCCGAAATAAGGAGAAAAGTCACCACAGAAATGCGTTTATACAAAACAATAATCAGGCCAATCATCAGCTACGGATGTGAGATATGGGTCGTAACTTAAAATACAGCAAACATAGTGGCTTTGAAAGAAGATTTCTTAGAAGAACACTAGGAGGGATCAGAATTGATGGGGAATGGAGACGAGATTCAAGCTGGATATATATAGGGTGTTTCAGAATTGCACGGCACTATTTTAAGGATGTATTCTTCAGCACAAAATAAACAAAAAAGTTCATACAAACATATATCTCAAATTAATTTATTACCGAGATAATGAAAAATTTTAATTTGTCAATGAAGCGGTCAGGCTAAATGTTCAAAACAGTTCCCAGCCCCACACAAAATAATCTACCGATGTTAGATCGGGAGACTGTGGTGGTCATTTCACAAGTCCGTTTTGACCAATCCATCGGTTACCATATGCTCTGTTTATATAATCAGTGACAAGATGAGAAAAGTGAGAAGGAGCACTGTCATGCATAACCACATTCCCTGCCTACCGTCAATCAGAATGTCTTTTAGAAACTCATAAATGTAATTTTGCAAAAAATTGAAGTAAGATATTCCGGAAAGCCTGGGTGGTAAAAAGAAAGGGCCGATGAGATTGTCACCAAGAAGACAACAGCAGACATTTAAGGAAAGATTATGTTGGTGATGAGTAGAAACAGTCATATGAGGGTGTTTCAAAAATTAATAATACCGTTTCTGGTAAAACAAAATTCGTCAGTAATTAGGAGATAGCTCAGGAAGTTAGGGTTTCGTGTACATTGTCGAATTAACCACTGGCAGAAATTTCTGCGCGTGTTATAGTCTTCTGGTAATAAATCTTGCACATGTGTAACGTGATATGGATACAACTGTTGCTCTCGCCATACGCTTGCACTCGAAACATCGAAACGAATTGACAATCTTCTGGTGTTAGTACTAGGAGATAACTGAACGGTATCGAGTATCAATTCTTCAACGTTAACAGTTGTTCGAAACCTTTGTCGACTAGCGTTTATTCCTGTAGGTTTTAGCGTGTCAGTTTTCCTAAGACGTCTTTTAATGGCTTCAAACGTTTTACTGTTTGGTGTCCTTCTAGTGGGAAATGTTTCACGGTACTTTCGAACAGCAGCAGCTCCATTTTTATGTACCTCGCCATAAATTAACAACATGTCTGTTTGTTCTGCTGAAGTAAACAGCTTTGTGGTGTCTCCCATGATAAATAATAAAAAATCAAATTTTTGTACAGCACTTGAAAAACGTTTTTACGTAGATACTTAATCATCCTTCAAGAAAAAAACACCCGGTATATTAGCAATATACAGAGTAATACAGACCCCCACTATCTCAGTAAGCAAGACTGCAACGATTGTGATGGGCAGGATACGTGATGACGATAGGATCCCAAAAAGAACCCTCAGCAGAAGAATGACCTATTGAGAGTGCGGGTGTGGAGACGAGCGACAAATATTAGGGACGTTTGAAGAGATAATTTGAAAGAGACCCGAAGTTAGGCTGTAGCGCCATCAGAGAGAGAGAATTTGTTATGTCGAATATTTCAACAGATCATCATAACGAACGTCATACTTCTCTCCTGCAACATGAAGTGCAACCTATTTCCTTCTTTTAGGCTGTTCTTGTAGTTTTTTTTTGCTATGATGGCTTCCATGCTCATCGTTGAGAGTGATGAAAAATTAAAAATCAGGTTAACGATGATATAATTTTATTATTCGCAATAGGTGCTACAATGTTTCGACAGCTTAGCTGTCTTCTTCAGGCACGACGTCAGATATGTGAGGACCTTGTGAGATTTATAATGTTGAAACGATTTACTTAAAGTCACACAGTCAAAAAACATCAAAATATTGTTCTTGTAGTGTCTTCTTTGGTACTCTTCCATCCGGCATTCTCTAGACATCTTAACCATTTGAGCTTTATATATTCTGCGACTTGTGGTTCCTTATATAGTTGCTACAATTCGTGGTTCAAGTGCGTCTTGTACATGTTCTCATCCCTAACTGGATCCATTAGTTTCTTTACGTTTCGTTGAGTAAGTGTCTACGTTTCTCTTCCATACGTTAGTACTGTACTATACTGTACTTTCTCGATTATAGTATGGGTACTGTGGTGTAATATGGCTTATGTGTTGCATTTATTCTCTTAATTACCTGCTTTGCTTCAATTCAAAGTTGTATCGTCTCTTGTGATGTTTCATCCTATTCTTTTTCGTATTTGCCTGCCCTGCACTAATATGGTATTTCTCATTCACTTCAACGCCTATTCCCTGACCAACGCTTTCAAGTTCCATGAAGGATTTATTTATATCTGTTACCTTTCTTGCTAGTATGTTAATGTTGTCTGCATACCCTATGATTTATTTTGACCGACTTAATAACATCGATCTTGTGTCCAGACTGGCTTTCAGGTGTGACATGAAATTTTTTTATTTCCCTGATTTTTCCACCAATCACAATATTGTGATATCATTCTAACCAGCTGTGGTAGAATGTCGAAAATCTAAGTTTATTTGTCGGACGCTGAATATCTGTGGTTAGTTGTTAATCTTTTAGCAATGAACCCGACCTTTAGCGATGTTTGTGAATACTTTGTAAATCGTGCTATGTAGTGATCTGCCTCCATAGTTTTCACATAGTAATTTGTTTCCCTTTTGTGTATTGGGCATATCACACTTGTTTTTCATTCCTTTGGTCGCTAACCCATATTTTATTTATCACACTGTGTATAGCGTTTGCAATTGACACTAACCTATACTTGACGAGTTCTGTTGAGATGTTGTCTATTCCTGGTGCTCTTCCGTTCTTTAGCAATCTCAATATTTTCTGGGTGTCTTCCAAAGATGGTGGATCTATAGCCGGTTCGTCTGGTCTCTGATTTATCTTATGGTCTACATATAGACGATTCAACATAACTATCTGTTGGGTTTAATAGTTCTTCGAAGTGGTTTTTCCACCTCTCTCAAATACTCTCGTCATTCGTTAATATTTCACCGTTCTTTTTTTGCAGAGTGAAGTAAAAGTAATTGATTACTTGGACAGCTAATCTTTAAAGTCTTGTTCTCTGCCCATATGTTTATTGTAATGTAGTTTGCAATTCGACCAAACTAGTTCAATGAGTTAAACTAAAATTAGAACTAACACTAGAAACTTTCGGGTTTTGCCGTGCGTCTTTTAATAAAAGGTTTGACGTTTCGGATGCCATGTTGCAACCTTCTTCAGAAACTGGTTCGAAATGAACGTTTACCAACTTAGTTCTAATTTTAGTTTAATTCATACCGGCCGTGAAAGCCTTCGTACTTATAATGAGATTGAATTAATTATGATATGGAGGTAATCGAATGACTTAATTTTTCCTTTAGCCTTGAATGATAAGATGCATGTGAAGGATTATTAAACTTGGCGTATCTAAATTAGGGAGCAACTGGTCGAGAACCACTTTTTGAAAAGGTCACCGTTCTTGTCGTCGTGGTAATCTGATAACTTCGACGTTAAGAAAACTAACAAATCTGCACCCTTGTTATCCAATTCTATAACATTAATCATCATATAATTTCATAAATGTTTTTGATCAATTAAATTTTATGAAATCTGTATCTTTTTAGGGCGTGCTACAATGAAGAAACTTGTGCGTACATCCCCGAAAAATGTTTAGGAAAAACGTGTGCCACACTTTTAGCCCCAATGAATCATCACACCGAGTTTTTAAAAGATCAAATAAACGACTATGATATTTATGTTGAAGTGATTTGGTTGGGAGAACATTTCAAACAGGCGACGAGGAAAGTTCAAAATTCATTAAAAAATAATCCGAATCAGAGCGTTTTGATAATGGCCTGGACTCCTAGCGATATCATATATCCTGAAAACGATTTCGCGCGAGTAATATTCAATAAATGCAAATACAGTGCTATAAATCGTTATTGCGAAGCGTACGAGCCGATGCGATTAGAAAAATTTGCGTGGACAAAATTACAAAAACACGCAAAAACCGCATATGAGGCTATCAAAAATATACGATTTGAGACGAAAGCTTACGCTGAGATGATGAAAGTTTACAACGACAATCACGATAAAGAAAGTTTCGATCAAATGGCTTGTAAATGGTTGAATTTAAATCCGGATATTTATAAACTGTGGCATACAAAATCCTCGAAACACGTTTTGTACATCGGTGGAATTTATCCTTTAAAAGATCCGAGTTATAGAGGATTTTCGATTGCTAATAGTGCAAAATTAGCTGTGGAACATATTAAAAAACTTAAAATTTTAAATAATTATGATCTAAAATTTTTAAACATGGATGGTGAATGTAACGCTGAAAAAGTAATGCGATCTTTTATAAAATACGTCGATGGCGATAACACGGATAATATCGTTGGTGTTGTAGGTCCAGCTTGCTCCGACACTGTCGAACCTTTAGCCGGTGTTTCAAACAACTTCAAAATGTTAATTATTTCTTATAGTGCTGAAGGTGCAAGTTTTTCAGATCGCGAAAAATATCCGTACTTTTTCAGAACGATAGGGTCAAATTCCGAATTTCGATTCGTTTATTTAGAACTATTGAAAAAATTAAATTGGAAACGAGTTGCCGCTCTTACAGAGGATGGTCAAAAATATACCGAATACATTTCTTATACGCAAAACTTATTAGAATCGAACGGAATCACATTTATAGCAAACTCAAAATTTCCGAAACTCCGCAAAGGATTAGAAATGCGAAAATACCTGGAGGACTTAAAGAAAAAACGAGCCCGAATCATAATCGCCGATGTTTACGATGAAATTGCACGATTAGTAATGTGCGAGGCCCATAAATTAGAAATGACCATGAAACACGGTTACGTTTGGTTCTTACCGACGTGGTTAGATCCGAAATGGTACGACACCGACTTTTACAATCAAAACCACACCGAATCAGTTTCGTGTTCAACATCGACCATGATTAACGCTATAGATGGGTATTTTTCGTTAACACCATCACCTTGGGGAGCAGACGATTTAGTTACCGTAACCAATGAAACTGTGAGAGACTGGAAGGCTGCTTATACCCAGAAAATAATTGATCCAAGAACGAATTTGACTTCTGATTACGCCGGTTATGCTTACGATGCAGTTTGGACCTATGCTTTAGCATTAGACAAATTAGTCGCAATCGATGCCGATGCAATTACAGAATTACATTCGAACGCAACAACTCATAAATTAGTTAATTTTATTGAGAATAGCGATTTCAACGGGGTCTCAGGAAGGATTCATTTTCGGGGCGGTTCAACTCGATACTCGAAAATTCTTTTAAATCAATGGATCCAAAACAAAAACTTCACCACAGTCGGTATATTTAATCCCAACGTCACCAACGATTCTCCCGATATTCTCGGAGGAAATTTAGATCTAAATTTATCAAAAATTGTTTGGTTATTGGGAACTATTCCAGACGACGGAACATCACCGCCGGAGATGTGCTCGTTAGATTTGCTTTCAAGAGCCTTCAACGTGAACTGCGAAATGGCCATTGTTATTTTATGTATAATAATTTTTATCATTTTTCTTATCATAATCGGAATAGGAATGTTTTTCTATAAAAAGAAAATGGATTCGAAATACCTCCAGACTCAACAATTAATGGAAGCGTTAGGTTTGGATCAAAGAACCGTTTCGGAATTGGATAAATGGGAAACACCTCGCGAACACGTTGTGATTAACCGAAAATTGGGTGAAGGCGCTTTCGGAACCGTTTACGGTGGTGAAGTTTACATACAAAATACAGGTTGGGTCGCAGTTGCGGTTAAAACTTTAAAACGTGGCTCAACTATCGAAGAAAAGGTTGATTTTCTTTCTGAAGCGGAAACTATGAAAAAATTCGATCACAAAAATATTATTCAATTAATTGGAGTTTGTATAAAAGACGAACCAGTTTACACGATTATGGAATTTATGTTATACGGCGATTTAAAAACATATTTATTAGCCAGAAGAAATTTAGTTAATCACAAAAATTGGGAAGATCACGACGATATTTCCAGTAAAAGATTAACCAGGATGGCTATTGATGTTGCCAGGGGATTAAGTTATTTAGCTGACAAAAAATATGTTCATAGAGATATTGCGTGCAGAAATTGTTTGGTCAATTCGAATAAAGTTGTAAAAATCGGCGATTTCGGAATGACTCGAGCGATGTACGATAACGATTGTTACAAGTTTAATCGGAAAGGAATGTTACCGGTTCGATGGATGGCTCCAGAAAGTTTAGCGTTGGGTGTTTTCACCCCGGCGTCGGATGTTTGGAGTTACGGTGTTCTTTTATACGAAATTATTACGTTTGGAAGTTTTCCGTTTCAAGGACTTAGCAACAATCAAGTTTTGGAATATGTTAAAAATGGCAACACCTTAAATGTACCAAAAGGAGTTAAACCACAACTGTAAGTACATATTTTTTATTATTTTTTTTTAAAGTTATTACTAGATATTTTTATCTCCTCTTTTCTGCTAATTCGACTAATCTCAGCAATGTACTGGACTGACTGGCCGCGCATTTGAATGGTTTTCAAAAACAGGTCGTGTATTTTTTCCAAAACGTCATTCACATATTAACAGCTCAGAGTTTCTCGGATGGAAACTTCATAAGTAGTAAGAGTTTCATAGTTTTGGTACGAATTTTGAGGTAATTTCTTTTACTGCACTGCTCAAAACATCTATTTGTCAAAACTAACTCCATATTGAGCATTACCTCAACGGTAGTTGAGTTCTCCTGCTCCTTGAAGGCTTTCAATAAAATTTCAGAAAACGTGCAGTGGTAGCAAATTTTCTTCTAATTAACTCAGATACGCATTGTATAGTTTGCACGGAATATTTAGGAGTGGTACTCTTCCCAATTTGATGTTTTCAGTGCTAATATCATCTTTTATATTTACTGTATAATTTAAACAGTTTTTTAATCTTAACTATTTATTTTATTCTTCAATATGAAGAACTTGGTAATCTACTTTTTTTGATTTTTTTAAGCTCTATTGCTGCGTCTGTTTTTTCAACCGTTTGGAAGAGTGCTTTCATTATTCCTATTTTTAAATCTGGTAACAAACACTTGATCAATAATTACCACCCTATTTTTAATTTGTCCTTACTTTCAAAAACTTGTGAAAAACTTATTGACAAATTTAATACATTTATTTTTCGTTAAAACCTTTTCTCATGGTTGAACAATTTGGTTTTTTGCCTAATAGGAGGATTGCCTGAATTCGCTTAACGATAATTGTCAAGTTGATTCTATTTACAGACTTCAGTAAAGCATTTGATAAGATCAATCATAATATCTTAATTTCCAAACAAGTAACTTTCCCGTTGCCTTGTTCAATTATTGATTTGCTAAAATCATATATTTCGAATAGAAGGCAGGCAGTTCGTTTATTTGGCTGTTTTTCGAAATCTCGAGCTGTTACGTCTGGAGTACCTCAGGGGAGCCTTCTCGGCCCGTTATTATTTTTAATTTACATTAACGACATTGGGTCCTGTTTTATATTCGAGTTTCTTGTTATATGCGGATGATTGCAAAATTTTTTCCTGTATACGTACAGTTGCTGACTGTATTAAATTGCAAAGCGATCTTTATCGTTTTAACACTTATTGTTCTAAGATATAACTTTTTATTAATTACGAAAAATGCTCCAAAATTTCATTTAGCAAAAAAAGATATAACGATATATAGATTTTTCATATCTGCTTGACGTTGAATCTATTAAATGTGTTACTTCTATCAAAGACCTTGGTGTGATGCTAGATTCAAAACACTTATTTTCAGACCACATTGAATATATCTTTTTCAAAACTATAAGAGAATTGGAGTTTATTCTAAGAACTACTTATGTCTTTTCAAATCTTGATTGCTTAAAATCTGCTTATATGGCATATGTTAATAGTATTCTATCTTTTTGCTCGGTGGTTCAATCACATATACATTGACCGTTTGGAGTTGGTTCGGCGTCGTTTTGTTAGGATGTTTGGTTTTTGTTAAGTTGTTACTAATTCGCCTATTCTGCGCATATTAAACTCTTACAACAAAGTTTGCCAGTCGATTGATATATTTAATTGTTCTTTTGTATCGTTTAAAAAGATGTATGTTGCTTTTCCCAACATTGATTGAAATTTTGAGTTGAAATTTACTTTTAGTTTTTGGATTATATTTTTGTTTTTTCTTTCATGTCTCTTTAACTTTATAGTTTATTACTTAATATGTTATCTCTGTATTTTGTTTGTAAGTTTTGTGGATGCTTTATTGGGATAACCTGTCTGCATCCCGAAATGAATAAATCAATAACAAATATATTTTACTTTACAAAAGTATGACCGTTACATTTTAGCGTGCCTCTCTGAACAACACTTTCAATAAACTGTATAATTTTTCTGATTCTGGATTCAATACATAAAAACACACACCTTTCTTTAATCATTTATTGCGAAGAACGAGGACAAAACGCTTCAACAACGATACACACCCTTTTTTAGTTGTTTCCTTAAAACTGCCGTACGCATGCGTCTTGACATTTACAGCGGTCCTCAACAGTCAACACTCTCAATTTGTTCTCTTTCACGTTGGCAACCTCTTAAAACTAAAAGTTTTCCTACACTACACTCTTCCCTTCTTAGCTAACGAACATACATTTTTATAAATTTAAACGATCTGGTGCATTAATTCGTCTTTGCGAACGTCTAACACCTAAGTCACAATCGTTTGTAGTCTCTTTGATAGGATTTTCAATATGTATTGGATAGTAGGAATTGGGTTTTCACTCACAGTTACGTCTTGAATTGGGTTTTGCATCGGAGTCTGGTTTTCACGCATGCACCCTCCATTTATATCATGAAAAACTGAAACTTCCATTGGAGTTCTTTTCTTATAAAGATTTTTGTTATCATAATCAAAATGTTTTTTCTTAAGTTCTTCTACATGAACTAAACTTTTTATTCCGTTTGTTAAAACAAAATATGTCAATTCACTGTTTCTATGCAATATTTTTCTTTCCAACCATTTATCTTCCTCTCTTCTCTTGCTTTTTACATAAACTAACTCTTCAGGTTCATATTTTGTTATTTTTGTAGTTTTTTTATTTGTTGTTTTCCCAATTTTTCTTTTATTATGGATAGTCTTGTTCTTGGTGAACGTTTAAGAAACAGTTCAGCTGGAGTCTTTCTTGTTGTTGTTTGTGGAGTGTTTTGATAACCAAACAATATGTTATCTAACTACCGTACTTTCTAACTTTGTTTTTGAAGTTGTTTCTTTTAGTATCTGCACTGTCCTTTTCGCAGCACCGTTAGAACGAGCATGATATGATGGTGTTTTTATATGTTTAATTCCATTTTGTTGACAAAAGTCTTCAAACTTCATTGAAATCAATTACGGTCCATTATCGGATACTAACTACTCAGAAAGACCATATCTAGCAAAGACTGAACGAAGATACTCTATAGTAGCCTTTGCAGTAGTTGCTTCATCAAGTTTATTTCGACCCATTTTGAAAAAGTATCGATCAAAATTAAAAAGACGTCTTCATTTTTTGTCGCAAAATCTATGTTAGTTTTTGAAATATCTTAGTCGGCTTTGGCCAATTTATTTCCACGTAGGACTTGCTTTATTAATGTTTCCAGATCATCATTTATTTTTGGCCACCAAACGTAACGTCTTGCTAGTAATTTTGAACGAACAATGCCAGGATGTTGTTTATACCCTGAACGAAGTTTTACTGGAATCTGTTTTGTCTAAGGAAATTTCAGACTGTCTAAGAAAATATGCTTTTATTTTATCATCGTTTGCATAATTTTTTAATTGGGTCTTTCTGTAATTAGACATCGGTTCAATATGTGGTAATGGTAATCTCGATAATAAATTTGCATGGGCGATTTCTGGTCCTTTTTTGTATTTAATTTCATAGTCGTAGCTTGCTAAAATCAATGCCCACCTTTGTATTCTAGCACCAGCTAAACTTGGTACGGATTTATTTGGATGAAATATGGTTTGTAATGGCTTGTGATCAGAATTTATAAAAAATTTCCTGTCATGCAAATATAAATGAAATTTTCTAACTGCAAAAATGATAGCTAAAGCCTCCTTTTGCAGTCGAGAATAATTCTTTTCAGCATTATTAAGCGTTCAAGATGCAAAATAAAGAGGCTTTTCGAATCTATCCACCATTTGTGCCAACACTGCACCAATTCAAAGTCAAAATTAATAGTTTAAAAATTTTGTAACATCTTTTTACTCTTGTTGAAGCATTCATCAACTTTTTGTCCGTTTCCCTTTACTATTTTTTTCAAGCAATTTATATAACTCATGTAATTTGGTGGATAGATTTGATAAAAATCTACCACAAAAGTTTAACATGCAAATTTAGCACGCAAGCCAGTTAAATCATGAGGTGTAGGAGCTTTCATGATAGCTGCTATTCCTTCAACAGTTGGAAGAATTACTTCTGCATTTATTTTAAATCCTAAATAAATAACACTATCTTTAAAAAATTTACATTTTTCAATTTGAACTTTAAATTCCAACTTTATCTGGTATTTTTAATACATTTTCTAGGTTTCTTTTACAATCCTGCAAATGTTTTCCGCAAATTAAAATATCATAAATATATAACACACCGCGTTATCTGTATCTTTCAATACTATCCATGGTTGCTTGAAATATTGCTGGAGCACTAGTAATATCAAATTTCTTCCTTTTTTGTTATCCTTCTTAAAATAGTGAATTTCCTTTTCTTGCATTCCTTTTGCTTCTTTGTCTAGCAATTCTAAACTTGTTGCCAAACTCAATGGTTCGTTAAATGTTATATAATAATAAATATATAATTTTAACCTCTTTAGATACGTTCGAAATGATTCCTTAACCGGATCGTACTCGCCTATTTTCCCTATTTTTACCATTACTTGTCTCCATATCGCCACTTTTACGTTTAGTGTTTCATTTATACACCTTTTTAATCTTAACAAGTTATTTTATTCTTCGATTACTTAAAACTAAAAGTTGCTACACTACATCATTTCGTCACCGTTTGATCCCTGATTTTAAACTTTAGGAATGTTTATGCCCATTTCTATTGTTGTGGTTTTCTTATAGAGTTCCGCGTAGAATTCTCCACCAACGTCTTAAGGTTTTTTTATCATCCTTGTGTGTTTATTTTGTAATTTTCCATCAGCTTCTTTGTATCGTCGATCAGCTTGTTTTTTACCCTATTTCCAGCAGATTGACATTTGCTCTCCACTTCTTTCATTGCTACTATTAGCTATCTACTTGTTGCCTCGATGTCTATATCATCTATATTCTTTTCTTTCAATTGTGGTTTTATCAGCTTTCTACATGCTGTTTTCCTGTTTCATGTTTATTAAGATTTTTGCTCTAACTACTCTATGACGTCACAGTTATCTCTACCTATAGAGAAATTATTAACGAAGGTGACGTAAATTCGTTATTTGTCATCACATCGGGGCTAGCTTATATCCATTTTCTCTGCACAACTTTTTTGAAAAAATGATTCATTACGAATAAGTTTTTTTCTAGTAAAAAATAAAGCAGATTGTCCTCTGCTATTTATTGATCCAAAACCCGTGACTTCTCAGTGAAGTTCACTATCGTCTTGTTTATGTCCTAACTTTGCGTTAAAATCCTCTACAATGAAAGCAATTGGTAGCGATCTAATGGAAAGTCATGCTGATGGCGTAACAGGTTTCGATATCTTCGTCAACCTCTAATTGATTCAGCTTAAACTAATGAATATGAGATATGCTAGTCTAGGGCTATGCTTTGTATTTGTAAGACATTTCGGACATGTGATTTATATACTAGGAAGCCCACTCCTCTTTGTCTTATGTCGTATTAGTTCTTTTTCTTCTCTTCTTTTGTGTTTGCAGAATCCTAGTATGTCTCACCTCAGAAATCTGAGTTTCTCCTCAAATTTCTGGATTTCGTGAGTTGTTGATTGTATTCTGATATTATAAGTGGTTATTTGCATTGTTCGTTTGCTATTCTAGCCTGGTCCTGAAAGGAAGTTCTTAGCACAATCATCATCTGGAAATGAAAAAAAGGGGGGATAAAAGGTTTGGTTAGAGAGTTGGATGGTATTGAATTTTTAACATTCAAAAAATATTGCGTTAACAAATAAGGTATTTTTGCAACTGAAAATTGACTCTTAACTTTCGCTGCGGCTAATAACTGAACTATAAGCATCAAACATATTTGGTTTCACGAAAGAATTTCCTTGAAGTTTTGTAGTAATGCAATTATCTTCATACTCTCTTTATAATCATACCTCAATATGCTAAAAATTACTTACTATAACATAGCAACAAAAGCTTTAGATAATTTTTAATATACATTTCTTTTTTAATTGCAGTGAAATCTTCATAAAGTCCTGTTGGCATGATGATGCCCAGAAACGTCCAACGGCTTGTCAAACGGTCGATTTTCTTGCAAATAACCCTACATTAATATCTCCATCGCTAGATGGTCCAACAGCAGCCGTCGCAATGGAAGGAAGTGACGAATTTGAAGTTCACATCCCAACCGAACTTCGTCATCGACCACTTTCCACAATAACAACCACATTTATAAACAATACATTCACAAAGCCACCGGTAAATCATATAGAACCGTTAGAGACACCTTTAATTGATTTTAGCGAACGTCCTCAACGGGGCTCGGCGCAAGATAGTGGTGTTTCGGTTCATTTCGATAATTATTGTCCACGCGAACCGCTTTTGGGGAATTTGGAAAGAAGTACTTCAATGAACGATTTGATGAATTACGTTACAGTTAATCATAATCATAGTTCGCCGAATTTGTATAATAACCCAAAAGAAATTGACAAAGAAATTCTAAAACATCAACAACAAGTTGGTCAAATGGGTAACGGGTTGTTGTGTTCGAATTGATCTTTTTAGAACAATTTCTTAAGATTGTGATCGATTTTAAAGACTGAAGAATCAATTAATTAATAAATTCTAAAGTTTCAATACACTCATTTTAAAAAAAGAAATGAAATAGTAAAAATAAAAACACATCACACAAAAGGCTTTAAGGACTTTTTGGAACACATTTTTGTACGTTTTATAAGAAACGAAAGATAAATCAAAAAAAAAGTCGTAGTATCTAGTCATTTTTATTTTTTTATTTCTACACGGCTTTAGTTTTTATTAACGAATCATAATTTCAATCCTTAATATGAAACGTAATTTCAAACCTAATTTTAAACCATAATTCGGGGTGTGGAATAGATTACTTCTGGTTAAGAAATGATTTGTTTTAAATGAGAACTCAAACTGTTATAAAATGTTCGGAAATTGGGTCAACTATTTTGTCGCACCTTGTATATTAATTTATCAACAGCTAATTTTAGTGTTTTTAAGTTCCTCCGTCTTAAGTAAGTGCATTTTAATTATATTTTAAGCATTGTAATATCGTGTATATCCATATTTTAAATATTTAGTATTACTTCCATGACGTCTAAAACATATTTATTTCATCCAATTACCGATCCACATTGTAATAATCTTTGCATTTAATAAGTACGTAATTATTTTTTTAAAGCATATTATTGAAAGAAATTTAAGTCGGAAAGAAGACGTTAGAATTAATTTGTATTGGGGCTATTAGTCTTAAATTACGCCTGTGATATTTCATCACAGAAGTCTTGTACCTGATTACATTTAAAAAAATATTTATATATTATATATGTCACATGTATCTATTCTATATATTATATAAATACACTTACATAATCACTATTAAATTATTTTAATGTGTTTTATTATACAATTTTATTTAATCCAATAGATTAAAAGTTCTATTTATAAAATAAGGTGATAAAGAATAATTATTTAAAACTATAATTAAACACAAGACACAAATGATGGAAAATGTCTTGCTAATAATGTCAGTGATCTTAGGACGTTTGATGCCCGTCCACTTCTTGAAATGCTGGTGGTTTTATATTTTTCAATGTAGAGTTCAATTACTTTCAAACGAAAATTAAGTAAACCAGTTAGTCCTCGCGGAATAATCGTTAAGTTCGTAAGTTACAAACAACGTAAAGAAGTATTTGATAATAAGAAACTCCTTAAAAACACTAATTATGTTATACGAGAGGATCTTACAATAAATATCTTAACCATTTTAAATGCCGCGAGGGGAAAATTCGGTGCTAAAAACGTGTGGACGTATGATGGTACCGTGTTTGTATCAAGTGGTGGGACTCGTCATTCTGTAAACTCACTAGAAGAAATGAATAGTTTTTAATTTTAATCAGATAGGCCAGTCAAGGCATTAGCTGCCCGTATGTATTTTTTTTTCTCCTTTTTTGCAAATTTTTGTTCTTTTTATTTATTTGTTTATCTAGTTTTTTTTTTTGTTATGAAGCTTGCACATCTGAATGTACGTTCATTATTATCTTCATTTAATAGATTTGATTCGTTTGTTCAAGATAACAATTTTGATATTATAGGGCTCAGTGAAACCTGGTTGAGTAATGCAATTGATTCGACGAAGATAGGCATTGGGGGTTTTGTGTTGGAGAGGGTGGATCGTGATGGTAGAGGGGGAGGAGTAGCATTTTATATAAACAATCAAATTAAGTATCAATTAATTAATGTTTCTAATTCTATTGAGCAAATATGGATCTCCTTTGTTTGTAACAAGGTTCACTTTGCTTTAGGTGTTGTATATAGGCCTCCTAAATTAAAATTTTCTGAATTTATAGATGTGCTTGAGGACACGCTGTCTGATGTCTTACCATGTTATGACAAAGTAATTTTTATGGGTGATATTAATGTGGATTTACTTGTTGAGTCAGCTGCAAACAATGAGTTTTTGGGTTTACTTAGTTCTATCGGTTTGACTCAGATCATTGATCAACCTACCCGAATAACCTCTACGACACAAACTCTCATTGATGTTGTGTGTGTTTCGGATCTAGAAATAGTAAAGCAAAAAGGTGTTATTAGCGTACATGGTATTACTGATCACGAAATGATATTCTGTGATATTCAATGTTCAGTACCAAAGCAGTACCCACAATTTAAAACAGTACGTTCCTTTAAGAATTTCAATTATGAGCGTTTTCTTTGTGATCTACAACAGGTTCCGTTCTTTATTTTATTTGACATGCCTGATGTGGATGATAAAGTTATTTTTTTAACTATGCATTTACTGTCGACTATTAATTCTCATGCACCAGTCAAATATTGTAAGTTCACAAAACCTCGTGCACCCTGGCTTACGGATACCATCAAGCTGATGCAAAAATATAGAGATGATGCTTTTAAAAAATATAAAATGTCTAAGTCACTTGCAGCATGGAATTACTATAAAGATTTAAGAAATATGACAAATACTGCTATAGATAGGGAAAAGAGGGCGTTTATGGGTCAATATATACACCGTGCAAACAATAACGCATGGCATGGTCTGAAATCACTTGGGTTGAATAACGTTAAGCGCAGCATAATACCTGGATGTCTCCGTCATCCTCACAAAATAAACCATTTTTTTGTAAACTCCATAACGCAAAATACATCAGTGGATAATGAGCTTTTTCAGTTTTATACTAGCAATAAGTTGATTAATGCAACTTTTTCTTTTACTCCAATTAATGATATTGATATTATGAAAAGCATATCTTCAATAAAAAGTAATTCTACGGATATAGATGGATTAAATATTGGTTTAATTAAGTTATCATGTCCTCATATTCTTTTATATTTGACTCATATTGTAAATTTCTGTATAAGTGAGAGTGTCTTTCCAGATTCGTGGAAGATTGCTCTGGTTAGACCATTACCAAAAATTAAAAACCCTATTGATTTTATGCATTTAAGACCCATAAGCATCCTTCCTGTACTATCGAAAGTAACTGAAAAGGTTCTAGCTTTTCAACTGCGTGATTTTATAGACAAAAACAATATCTTGCCAGAAATGCAGTCTGGATTTAGACCTGGCTTCAGCTGTACCACCGCATTGATTTCCATTATAGATGATGTGGTATCTGAAATAGACAAGGGAAATGCCACAGTTTTGTGTCTTGTAGATTTTTCCAAAGCATTTGACACAATCAACCATGACCTACTGTGTTCTATTTTGCAATTTGTTGGACTGGATGACGGGGCCGTTGAATTGCTGCGGAGTTATTTGAAAAATCGTCGACAGTCAGTTATTGTTGGTGACAGTATCTCGGGTGCGTTGAGTTTATCGTCGGGTGTACCACAAGGATCCATTCTTGGACCTCTTTTGTATACTGTGTATACATGTCATTTTAAAACCTTCATAAAATATTGTAGATCGCATTTTTACGCTGATGACACTCAACTGTACTGCTCCTTTCCGCCGTCTGATGTGACAGCTGCTTGTGAACGTATTAACTCTGATCTTCAGAGTATAGCTGATATTTCTGAACGTCACAATCTATACATTAACCCATCAAAGACCGAATTAATCCTTTTTGCGCCTAAAAGATCGAGACAGATTCTCTTATCCAAACTTAATATTTTTGTAAACAACACAAGTGTTACATGTAGTAATACTGTAAAAAGTCTGGGACTATTAATTGATGACGCACTGAAATTCAATGATCACGTTAATAAATGTACCCAATTAGCGTACTGTAACTTAAAACTCATTTACAACTGTCGAAATTTTTTAAATAGAAAGCTTAAGACTATGCTCTGTGAATCACTTGTATTATCGCATTTTAATTATTGCGATGTGATATATTCTACTTTCATTTCATATCTCGCAAAGAGGAAGATACAAAAGGTACAAAATTCCTGTTTACGACTAATTTATGGTATTAAACGTCGGCAGCATGTTAGTGATCGATTGGTCGATGTAAACTGGTTGAATATGCAGAACCGAAGAATTTTGCATTCAGCCTGTTTGTATTATAAAGTGATAAATTATCAACAGCCCCCTTACCTTTATAACAGGATTCGATTTCGAGCCGATGTCCATACATTGAATCTAAGATTTAGAGGTACACTGACTCCTCCAGTACACAACCTTCAATTTTTTAAAAAATGCTTTAGTTACCAGATTACTAAAATATTCAATAATATTCCATTGGACATCAGAAAATCATTGTCTCAGAACTCATTTAAACGGAAATACTTTGCATTGTTATTTGATGCAGGTTGAGAGCTCTCTGTGCTTCTTCTTGCCTTTGTTTTTACCTACATACGTTGTTGTCATTCTTACGGATTATTCTTATTTATTTACTATTTTTGATGTGCACGCTTCAGTTAATTCTAGTTTGTATAGTCGTTTATTAATTTGCTTTTGTTTTGATTTACTTTTGTTTTCCATAATAAATTTTTTTTTTCTCTCATGGTTAAGTTGAAAAACGGTTTAAGACCGAACTTCGCCTATTTTTTTTTTCTCGCTTTTGTATTTTTGTTTCTTTTTTAAGTTTACAAGCATTGTTTTTATTTTGTATTACTAGTGAAAAAAAAAATAAAGTCATTTATTACTATTATTATTATTATTATTATTAACTAAATCTATTTCAACGCCAGATTTTTGTTAAGCAGGAAACTGTTCCATTTTGACCGACCTAAAAGACATAAAGAGGTATGCCCCAACCCAGTATGCCAAGTACATACTGGGTTGGGTTGGGTTGGGAATGGAATTGGGTTGGAATACCAGTGTAGATTAAAACTTTGTTGGACCAAATGTTCCTTTTTAGTCAAGCAATGAAAAAATATTATGAGTACAATAGTGACCTGCACTGTATATTTATAGAGTGCCTTAGACAGTATACAAAGGACTAAACTTGAGTTTAATCTAAGGGAAATGGAAATCACCAAAAACCTAACAAAGCTAGCAATGGTGACAATGGAGAGCTTCAGGGCTGTGGTAGCGGTGCAAGAGGCAGTATAATAACGAAATCATTTCAAATATGCGCAAACGCAGATGATGTACTGATAACGACCAGAAGTTATGGATGGCTTGTGAAGATATTTACTGACATAAATAAGGAATAAACTAAGTGTCATAAAGATGTACGATTCGTTGCATAAAGATTGCATAAAAGTAACTCGTGTGTGTACTCCATGTAAAAAAACTGTAAAGAGTCAATAAACATATAATATGTTTATAATTGTGTGACTCACTATTATAACATGTCGCAGTCGAAGAAGAACTAATTTCCAGTTAGAAGATAAGAAATACACAAGGTGTTTCTAAATTGATGATAGATTTGAAGGACTGATTTTTCAGCAAAAATTAAGGAGTAACTTTCATATAACTTTTTGTTCAAACCTCCTTCTCCTCCAAGTTATACTCCTCTAAAGTTAAGGAAAAAAATCTGCAACTTTCTTATCTCTTGACATTTTACAACTAACAAATTGTTAGTTTGATCACAAAAAATGAAATAATGCTGAGATCAATTTGACATAACTTCATTTTTTTTGTCTAATAATAACCAATCTCTGAATTAATTCACTTTTGTTTTTTTGTGATCAAACTAACAATTTTAGGAGAAAATGTTAAGAGACAAATAATTGCTCTATTTAAATTAAGCAAATCATTTTTAAATAGCAACATGTAGACGCATTAAAAATGTCTGAAGCAAAGTATTATAGAGGTTGATTTTTTTAGCCTCTTGTAATAACATTTTCCGGTTATAAAAATCGTCAAAGTGTCATTTTATTAGCAACAGTTATCTGCAAAATTTCATCCTTCTAAATTCCTTCATAGTGGATTTATTTAAAAAAAAGTAAAC